ATTAGCTCCCGAATCGAGGTTTTCAATTATATTATTGCGCTCACGTACAGTTTTATTCCAGCCAGTCAGTGCAGCCTCTGTGGCGTGCCGGATGAGTTTACACGCGAGCCGGCGGCATGTTTAATTATTTTATTGCATTTGTGGATTGTTGTTGCCTTGTTTTATTTTGAGTTATTATATTTCTTTTGGTTTTTGGCTTTCGTCAAAATTTAATTAGTGTCTCTCACGCTGGCTGCAAACCAAAATTATGCAAAATGTGTTACATAGGCAGTTGGGTCAGTCCACTTTCTTGCATAATTCGTACTGACCATATGACTGGGCATTAGTATGCGCCAGGGTAACCCACTGGTAGACAGGCATGCTCCCAATTCATTGCCAATCAATCAAGGGGGAGACAAATAGTGGCAGATAGAGAGAGAGAGAAAGAGAGAGAGAGACAAAATGGCAAATGCGAACATATTTATTGACAGCAACATTTTCTTATTTTTTGCAGGGTTTCACATATGTAGCGCCATCGATACTGGAGGATATGCATCGGGCTAATCGCATGCCGGCGCGCTCACCAAGACGCATGCTTCGACAGCACCAGCATCCGGACAATAGCTTTCGGCTTCAGTTCCCGTCCGCCAATGCGAATGTAGCTCCCAACGTGCCGCCGATGCAGCGCTCAACTATATACGCACGAGCTCCTCCACCTCCATACCAGCACCCGCATCCGCATCATATGCAAACATTCGCGCCACGCCCGTCGCCAGCGCAGGACGAGATGATGGATGTGCAGCAGGGACTGCCGATGGTCTAAAGGTTACTACTACATTGACGTACAGATCATGCGAAGGCGGATGAGGAGGACGAGTGGAAATTGTTTTTGTTATGCGAGTTTGACACAGAGAAAAAGAGAGGAAGGGACAGATTGAGTGATCCCTATTTGTTTGGATATACATAAATACTAATGTTAGACACATACACAGATAACATGCATATATACTATATAACTATAACATAACAAATGCTATTGCTATAGCTCACTATATAGAATATACATATATACATATATGAGTGTTTATGTATATGTATATATATATATATATATATGTACATGTATGTAGATTGAGAGAAAGAGAGAGAGAGAGTTAGCTAGCTGGAGCGAGTTCCGGATCGTGTATAAATATTTATCAATTACTGATTATGTTTTATGCTTATATAGGTAAAGGTTTACACAATTTAGTTCAAATGTACACTTCAAACTTTTTTGATTTTTTTTTACATACATACATATATACATGTATACACGCATACAAAGCATAATAATTATATAGATGCAAAAACATATACATATACTTAACGACAACAACAAGAAGAACAACAACAATAATTACACATGTTATTACAATTATGTTGTTTAATTGAGCTCCTTTTGAGAACATCCCGTTTTGAGTTCCATAATTATTTGTCTTAACTATTCTATAAAATAATATTTTGTTTAGATTCCAGCTTTAAATTCTTGTTTAGCCATTTAGCGTTTTTTTTGAATGAACCTTTGTGTGTTAGAGTATAGGACAACAACAACAACAACAACAGCAGCAAGCAAAGCAAACACCATACAAGAGCAACAACAAAAAAACTAAGAACGATAATAATATTAAAATTAATATTAATGATATATATTGATCATAATAAAACTGAATATATGAAGCTAATTGCAAAGGTTTCCAGCGTGAAAGTCGTAGCCAATATATATATATATTTATGTATATCTTTTTTTGATTTGCTATTTATTTGATAGTTTTTCCTAATGAAAAAAACTCGCTTTCGGTTGCTGTAACTTTCTATTATTCATACAATTATGCAATTATATTCTCTTAAGCAGTTCAGTTGTTCGAACGTTTACAAAACTAAAATAAGGCATTTCTTAAAACAATGACTAATACAACAACAACAACAACAAAAGTTCGATACAGTAAGAAGTTGACATGAATGATGCTATACATATTATTTGAAGAACATTAAATGTGAACTGAGAAGCTAAACGCTGCCACAACAACAATAAATAAAATATACATATATTTAAAGCAAGGGAGAAAAACAAAAGAAATAGCAAAACTAAAATAATATAATAGATGTGTATGTACTTTGATTATATTTTGTTTCAGTTGTTTTTATTTTTTAACAAATATTGATATTTGCAAACATTGAAAAAACTAAAAAAAAAAAAATATTAAAAAAAAAATAATATAAAAAGTAAATAAAAACAAAATGTCGAATATAATCAAAAGGTGCTTTGAATTGTTTAAAAAAGACAAGACAACTACAAAAACAAAAAACTATTGAAAACGAGAACGACTAAGAAACTAAATACTTACAATGTATAAAACAAAATACATATTTATATAAACAAAACAAAAAATATGAAAATACCTCAGAAGCAATTATTTTTGTTAAAAAATGAAAAGAAACAAAAAAGAAAACAGCAAAAACCAACTAAATGATAACACAACTTAAATTAAATTAATAAGCGAAGAGAAGCGATAAAAATACGGAAGGGAAACATAACATTAATATAAATAATATATATACATATTTTTTTCTTTATTGTAAAACTTTACTTGTTTATTGTTTATGGTTTATTAATTTCTTATGTAATTTTGCATTATTATTTTTTTTAATGTATGCTACAATAACAAATTGTAATGAAGTTATAAACTGAGTAAGAAATGTCTTATTTTTCTTTGTTGAAGTAGAAAAGCAAAAAATAAAATTAAATTTAACAAAAATCGTGCTAAATCTTAAGGAAAATATATATAAAAAAAAAAAAAAAACAGATTGAAGTAGCTCCAAAAACAAATATAAAAAGAAAGAAAAACACTGCCTACACAAAACAAAAAAAGGAAACAACAAGAAACTAGTAACAAATTACAAAACAATAAATGAATTTACAAAAAAGAAAATATTAACAAAACAAAAAAACAAAAACAGTTACAGTTTGTATTCGTAGATAGCCAAAATAACCAATTAAATTGAAAAGCCCAGCAATACATTGAAGAAAACAACCAGGTCCACTGAAAAGAATATGCCTAAACAGAAATGTAGTTGAAATAAAAGAAAAACGCAAATTAATTCTAGAGTTACGATCTGCATGCGACATTTCTAACAATTAGCCATTTGTACAGTTCACAGAGCTAATTATTAAAAAAAAAAAAAAACCAAAAACAAATTAAAACGTTTTGGCTGAGCGATTATAGAAAAAACAAAAAACCAAAAAGAAACAAGAAAAAACGATTCAAATACAAGTTCACTGTTAATAAATCATTACAAAAATTGCGCCAAACACGCGATCGCACTGGCAACTCTGTCATAATAATAACAGTTATTTTGTAAGTGCCAGACATTAAGCGAATCTAATTACTAAGTCCGAGCGACACGAGCGAACCAGTTCTGAACAACTTCAAGGCCATAGCGGAAGACGCATCACGGGTTCAGAAATGAACGGATGGCTGAATCTACAGAAGCCAAAAAGGAAAGAAACAAACAGAAAGAAGAGACAGCTATGTTCAAATAAAATTAAATATATTAACAAAACACTGAGAACTAAAAATGCAACAAACATCAACGGATCCTAGTTAATTAAATTGTACATTTTTATTATCATTAAGATTTAAGTGCAGTGCATAATATACATAAATATACACACATACATCAGACTACAAACACACACATACATCAGACTACAAACACACACATACATATATAATATATATATATATATATATATATATAAACATACATATATATGTATATGCATGCATTCATGTATGATGGCAACAACAACAAATGTATATCGTAATAAATTCAAACTAAATTTTACAAAAAGAAAAAAACTAAAACTTAATTGCAGGCGAATTAACTGAAAGGTAAGTACGACAAAATTATATAGGAAGTTTAACTTATCTTATGCCGTAATGATATTATGAAAGCCTTGATCTAAAAATATAAATATACAATTTTTTTAAGATGAACAGGTTGGATCCTCGTGGTAGCAGAATGCTGAATTTGAAGACAGAACCTATACAAAATTGTTTCGGTATTTAAATTTCCCTCCAATGCCTCTCAAACTGTGCTGTACAAGTACCATACATACATATATGGGAATACATATTCTTATATATTGCATACAAATATAGTTTTAAGCAAGCCCTGCTTAACTATCCTCTTGAAAAGCTCCCGGGTAAGCTATATCTCCATTATAATTAGGCTCAATATTAAAAATCTTGTAAGATTTCTTATAAGAAATTACAAATATATTGCAATACTGCACTGACTTAAATCAATGATACCTAACAATTACATATGTATATTGCGTCTTAACGAATGAAATAGCTACACACCTTTGTGCCACGCCCATCCATCCAACCACCTCCCCCTCACGCCAATCGATCTGGCCGTCAGTCACGCAGCTGGCGTTGATTAGCATAAGTAAATGGCAAAAACAAAAAGTTTTGCACAATTGCCAAATAAAAAAGGTAAAAAAGCGAAAGTATGTTAAGCATAAATCGATCGAGGTAGCTGCTTGAAAGTCAGGCATAGCTATTTTTAAGCAGCATGGCGAAAACCGCAAGGACGAGTCGCGCCTGCCACCGAAGTCAGCAGAAAGAAGTTCACCTGCGCCTGGGTTGCGTTTGTGCCCAATTGGATTGCCAGGTGACATACACAAGGCAACACACACACACTGAGACACAGCTGCCCTGGCTACCACACATACAGAGGTCCACATGGAGCATATACCAACATAAAAACAATAAATACCGCTAGGCAACGGCTGAATTCCCTAGCATGAATCGATTAAACTAACCCTCGAGTTGGAGGAGCAGCAGCTGCAGCTGCAGCCCAGTAGTTATAGATTCGGAGCCAGTCAGCCAGGTCGTCAGGTACTCAATTTCCCAAGCTCAATCGAAACCAAAGTGTGCCAGGACTTGCTCGAATTAGAAAAAAAGATTTAGAGAAATTCTCACATACATCCTAGAGCAGTGTACATGTGTATACAGAATTGCATACGTAACAGTTAATTTCCTCTTTTGATTAAATCTTACGCAATATAATATAAATCTATTTTATATTAAACCAACCTAAAGTTTACATTGAGTTACGAGATTGTGAGATAGTGCGTCACCATGTTGCCGAACCTAAAAGCGCGTCGCATCACTGGCCTGCAGCTGGCAAGCAAGCATCTGGGTCCAGTGGCCAAGTGCCCGCCCAGGTACTCTGAGGAGGATTGGGACTACAACAACAAGATCAAGTTCCGCATCACCTGCGACCAGGAGAAGCTCGCCGAGCGCATTGTCGAGTAAGTACACCAACGATCAGCAGATGATTGTCTGTCCAACTGCATGGCCCGTTGCTCTGTCGTCCTGCTTAGGGAGTCGCGTCGCGTAGTCGATGAGACCAAGGACACCACCAAGAATTGGCAGCGTGAGGTGGAGCACCATATGCGTGAGCGCACCAGTGAGATCCGTTTTCTAGTCGATGAGCTGAACCGCCAGAAGAAGACCGCTATGCTGGAGGACGAGACGCTCAACACGTATCGCAATCGTGTGCTAAATGCCATTGAGTTCCTCAAGGATAAGTCGCTGGCTATTTGCAAGCAGTGCCTGATCCTACGCGAGGGACGCATTGGTGTGGATCTCTGTGACGATGAGGTGGATCGCTCGCTGCGTCGCGAGCTGAAGGTGATCAAAGGCTGTCAGGGCCTGGCCGACGCTGCTCTCAAGGAGGCCGAGGAGCAGATTCGCAAGCTGCGTGCAGCCATGTACCTGCTGGATCAGGATCTCTCAGCCAAGGACAAGTCGCTGGCTATCGACGAGAAGAATCTGAAGCTGAAGGAGTTTCAGCAAGATCTTGGCAAGGGCCAGGATCTATCCAAGCAGCACTGGTAGGTCAGCATTGGTATTCATATGTTATTTCAACTAAACCGTATTTCCTTCTCCCAAGCCAATTCTCGTTGACTGAGTGGCAGGCGCAGACCTATGAGAATCTGGAGGCCAATGCCAAGGCTCTGGTGTCCGCCGGGCAGCTGCGTGCCTATATTGATCTGCTGTTGAAGCAGGTCTGCGAGGATATGCAGAACCAGACGGATCGCACCAATGAGGCCTTCGAGCGTCGCATTGCAGAGACGAAGCATGTGAAGCAGTGCCTGGAGAACAAGCACAAGGACACCATGGACCACATCCACCAGGTGCAGCGCAACATGAGCGAGCTAGATCGCGAGATGTCCGACAAGCAGAGGGCCATAACCCTTTGCCAGACGCGTCTCAGCAATCGCGCTCATCGCCCTGGGCTGGAGTTGACCTGTGACATGGTCCAGGACGCTCTCTACAATGAGCTCCAGGCATTGAAGGCCTCGGTCTGCAAGTTGAACCAGAAGCTGAACGAGAACAAGGCATCGATGCGCTATCTCATGCATGTTCAGGTCATGCAGGAGGAGGAGATCAACATCAAGGCGAACAGCTGCAAGATTGATGAGGTCGACTGCATGACTCTGCGCCAGGCCCTTAAATACACATCGTTCTAGTCGTCCCCTGCTCCGAGTTTGCTAGCTTACGGGCGAGCGAGCCGCACCAGCCAGTCTCATTGTGCTCGATGTAACACTACTTAATCAAATTCAAATTACATGTGCATTTCCCGTTCAATACTAAATTATTTACTTGTAGATGGTTAATAAATCAAAAATTCACATCAAGTTCGAAAAAGAAAAACAATGCTTTCTCTAAGTATTTACTCCAAATGTTGCTATCTTTCCTCGAATAACTCCTTTCAATTATATTCTCCCAAGTTTTTAAGGCTTAACAAACGATCATTTAATATTATTTTCCATTTCACTTCACTTTTTTGCACTGCACGATTGACCCCCGCCAGGCCTGGGCGACTGAAGAAATGCTGCATCTGTTGCCCATTTATATAGGGCGTGTTTCACTCACATTGAGCAGCGCTCAAATGCCCGACGTCAGGTAGAGAGGATGTTGTAGACGACCAATGGGAACACGCTCTGCTGCTGTAAGCATTCCAGCTCCATTTTACTCAAATATTTCAAGCATACTTATATGATCTGTAGTGCATCTTCGTCTCATGTTTTATTAGGCAGAGAGACAGACAGAGAGTCTGACTGAGAGGTAGAGAGGGAAACAAAAGTATTTAATGGCTGTATGCTAAACAGGCAACACTACAGCAACTTACAGCTGATTTTTGGAGTTGATTGACAAAGCTCTTTTAAGCGTTTCCAATACATCATCCCGATTCCTGGCCTGCTTATAAATACATATAAACAGGCTGCTGAATACAGTGAGTTAAGCATTTCCTTGTATGAGAGTTCAAGTTTTTTTATTTAACTCTTTCATCTGTCCATAAAATACAATTACAAGCAATAATATATATTATACAAGTCTCAACTTTTCAGCATTATTTACAATTTAACAGCCGAGACTGGACTTGCCTTTCATCAAAGTATCGATAAATGACATTATTGTATCGATAATCTTGTTGAGTGCTGCCAACTTTCATGAGAACTGAACTAGTTTCTGCCAGCTATTGAATCTGTTGACTTATTGAAATCCAGAACAATCTATCGATTAGCCGCCACTATTTATCGCCTATAATGCAACTCTTTACACAGCAAGCAATTAGTAGAAAACTCCTTTAGAATTCTGCCTTTTGCTGAGTTATTAATTAATGTTAAGCTAAAAAGTTTAGAAACAGAAATTAAGGTAAGTAACACAGTCCGTCTGTCCTCCCAGCCGCCCAACCGTTTCACATATGTGTGCATTTTTGCAGCTGGCAGCGTCCGCCGCGCCGCACACACAGCAAAATGGAGTACAGCCACAGCCACGAAACTTGAAAATCAATAATAGAGAAAACTGAAATTAATAGTTATTTGCGTTTCGTTTCTACATTTGATTGTTGTTGCAGTTTAGAAATTATGTCAAAACGTAGTGCTGACGATGCCAGTGGCACCGGCAGCGGCGGCAGCAGCTGTTTAGTGGCTGCAGCAGCCGCTGGCCAGCCGCCCATCAAAAAGGTGCACTTCGAGCCCCATTTAATTGGGCCGGTGTCAACATTAGAAGAGATGGACATCAAGGTATTGGAGTTTCAGAATAAGAAACTTGCCCAGAGGATCGAACAGCGAATGCGCTGTGAGGCGGAACTCCGGCATCGAATCGAACAACTGGAGAAGCGGCAAACGCAGGATGATGCAGTCCTTAACGTGGTAAATAGGTATTGGAATCAGCTGAATGAGGATATAAGGGTGCTGCTACAGCGATTCGATGCGGAAACGGCTGATGAGCTAGAGAATAAGAATGAGAACGAGGTGACGACCTCGTTTCTAACGCAACTCTCCACATGGGACAAGGAGGAGCTAGACGAGAAACTAGCGAATCGGGTCCAGGTATCGAAGCGAGCGGTGGCGAAGATCGTACAGGTTATTGATAGGTTAATGCAACGTAACGAGAAGATAACGCATGTATTGAAAGGTGATGGTCTGGCCAATGCAGGAGCACAAGGAGGAACAGCGGGCGGAGATGAGGAGCAACAGTCCACTGCCGGAGCTGAGTCGGATGCGTCAACAACGAGTGCAGCAGTGCATGCGCTGGAGGAAACGTTAAAGAAGACGCACATTGAGATCATGACAGAGAATCACAACCTGCAAAATCTGAACACATCGCTGCACGAGAAGTTTCACACGATGTCACTGAAGATGAAGGAATACCAGGATGCACTCACCGCCAAGGAAACAGAAAATGCTGAACTGAAGAACCAAATTGATGAACTGCAATATGATCTGGAGAAGATCCACTGTCGCAACGATAAGTTGGAGAATCATCTGGCCGAGGCCATTGAAAAGCTGAAGGCCTATCATCAAATTTACGGTGATCCCAACAAAAGCAACAACAGCACCAAAACGCCCAGCAGCGGTGGCGGTAGTGGCGGTGGCGGCAGTGCAACAACCAATGTGAATAGCCAACATCTGGAGGAGCTGCAAAAGGAACTGGAAGAGCATAGAGAACTGGCGAATAATCGGTTACAAGAATTGGATAAGCTGCATGCCACGCATCGCGAAACACTCAAGGAAGTCGAGAAACTCAAAATGGATGTAAGAAAGAGAAAGAGAAAGAGATCACAGCAGTAACATTCAGCGCCAAATTTATCCATTAACCATTCTCTCTTTGTAGATCCGACAGCTGCCCGAATCGGTAATCGTGGAGACGACGGAGTATAAGTGCTTGCAATCACAGTTCTCTGTGCTGTATAACGAGTCCATGCAGATCAAGACGATGCTGGATGAGACGCGCAATCAGTTGCAGACGAGCAAGAATCAGCATTTGCGTCAGATCGAGGTGATGGAGAGCGAGGAGCTGATTGCCCAGAAGAAGGTTCGCAGCGAGATGATACAAATGGAGGACGTGCTGGCGCTTATACGCAAGGAGTATGAAGCGCTGCGGATTGAGTTCGAGCAGAACATGGCCGCCAACGAGCAGACGGCGCCTATCAATCGAGAGATGAGGCATTTGATCACCTCGTTGCAGAACCACAACGGACAGCTGAAGGGGGAGGTGCAAAGGTACAAGCGTAAGTATAAGGACATTTCCGCCGAAATCGTAAAACTGCGCAAGGAACTGGATGACGCGCAAGCCAAGCTCGAGGGCAACAAACAGCAGCAACAATCGGTAGCTGCGGCATCGGGCGAGGAAATTAAGCAGGAATCAGCAGCGAATATTAAGGAGGAGAATGCTAACAATAGTTCAACCGGTGGATCAACGTGCTCCACCACAGCAGGCAATGCCAGTGGCGAAGTCAACATGGTCATCAAAGAAGAAAACTCGGCCTCGGCCGAGGATGACCTAGATGATGAAGCAGGCGGAAAAGATGTCAAGGATGCAAATATTAAACAGGAGAAACTATCCGGCAGCGAAAGTGCAACTACAGAGAAGAAAGATTCACCCGGGCCAGCGAATGCTGCAGCAGCGGCAGCTGGCACGGCGAACGCTGTAAAATCCGAAAAGGATTCCAAGGAAGGCATCAAGGCAAAGGAGCTCAAGGCCGTGGAAAGTGAAACCGTTCGGGATCTGAAAGCGCAACTCAAGTAGGTGTCCAACTGTAATTGTAGACTCCCATATGCTTATCAAATTTGCTTCACAGAAAAGCGTTGAACGATCAGAAGGAAATGAAGCTGTTGCTGGACATGTACAAAGGGGTCTCCAAGGATCAGCGTGACAAGGTGCAGTTGATGGCCACCGAGAAGAAGCTGCGCTCCGAGATTGAAGAGCTGCGACAGCAACTGAAAAAGCTGCAGGAGAGCAAGCGGGAGGAGCGGAAGAAACTAGCCGATGAGGAGGCGTTGCGCAAGATTAAGCAGCTGGAGGAACAGAAATACGAACTGCAAAAGCAGGTGGCCAATCATAAACCCACGGAGAATGCATGGGGTGGTGCACCTGGTGGTGGACCTGGGGGTGCAAACTACACACGCCCATTTGTTGGCTCCCACGAAGAAGAGGCGCTGCTCAACGAGATGGAAGTGACGGGCCAGGCATTCGAGGATATGCAGGAACAAAACTCAAGGCTCATCCAGCAGTTGAGGGAAAAGGACGATGCGAATTTTAAGCTAATGTCCGAGCGGATCAAGGCTAACCAGCTTCACAAGCTGCTACGCGAGGAGAAGACGGTGCTGGAGGATCAAATGACTACAGCGACGACACAGATCGAGGCCATGCACATTGTGCTGCGCAAGCTGGAGGAGAAAGAGCGCAGCCTGCAGGCAACCGTGGCGTCAATCGAGAAGGAGCTTATGCTGCGACAACAGGCCATGGAGATGCACAAGCGAAAGGCTATCGAATCGGCGCAGTCGGCTGCAGATCTGAAGCTGCATTTAGAAAAGTATCATGCCCAAATGAAGGAGGCCCAACAGGTGGTTGCTGAGAAGACTAGCTCGCTGGAGGCGGAGGCCTACAAGACGAAGCGGCTACAGGAGGAGCTGGCGCAGTTCAAACGAAAGGCGGAACGCATGAAGAAGATGGAAATGTCAGGCACAACCATCGACGAGGTGATGATCGAAGAGATTCGCGAATACAAGGAAACACTCACGTGTCCCTCGTGCAAGGTGAAACGCAAGGATGCCGTGCTCTCCAAATGCTTCCATGTCTTCTGCTATGACTGTCTGCGGACGCGGTACGAGACGAGGCAAAGGAAGTGTCCCAAATGCAACTGCGCCTTCGGCGCCAACGATTATCATAGGCTATATCTGCAGTAGAAGTCGAGTATGAGAACGCGATCCACAGAACACCGAGCGTCTACATACCAGCCAGCTAATCCATTACGAGCATATTATCTATGTACTATTAATATATATATATATGTAGAATTGTTTTTAAGTGTCCCCCATCTGGGCGACTTTCCCATTTATTTCCCGTGCAAACCTTGCGGCAATTATTTAAAAACTTTTGATTATTCTAGCCCCAAGCATCTCATAATTGATGAGTTCCGAGTGATATTCTCCCGGGTTTTTATTCTAGATTGAACAAAATCGTACGAAATTTAATAAATTGCTATCAATTTTTTTCAATAGCATCAACAAATAGAAAATATAAAAAATTCAGAATCTTATTGAACTTCTTGTATATAAGGTGTATGATTCGAAACACTTCTGATTAATCAGTTCTTTTAATTCTCATAAGATGTTTAGTTCTAAGCAAACTTAAGATGTATACTTCCAATCTTAAGACAATATTTAAAAACTGAATTGCTTCTGCATTGGCTGAAGAAGGTTTACTGTTTGTGTTAGGACATAGAACTAAAATTGCAACTAAACTCTTGTCTCAATGAATAAACTAAGGAAATAAAAACAGAACTGATATTTATTTTATAGAGTTCAAATGAAAATAATTCTATCCAGGCGAAAGTCATTAAATGAAATTTAAATGATGCGCCCGATGGGCAGCACTGGCAAGTTGAAGTTGTTGTTGCCCAACTATGTATTGGTCACACTGTTTACCGGCAACCGGCACTGTTACACTTTCAAGCAGTTCGTTAACATGTTATCTTAACAGCTCTGTTAAATAATGAGAACTTTTAATTTGAGAGCCATTTAACAGTGGCATCGCTCACAATTGAGAGTAAGTTAACAGTAGCGTCGCTGTCGTTGGCCTGTTCGGATGTGTTTAGTGGGTGTGTTGTGCGCTAAGGTGTTTTTTTTAGCTGAACGGGTTTTCTTTACTTTGAAGCCTTTAAATACGGCCCCAAAAATAAAAATGCAATATTTTTAAATTAATCGATGTGCCGTCCAATCTAAATTGTATTTATTGTAGCTGCTGCCGCTGCTGCTTGTGTGTCCCGTCTCTTGTGCATTGCCAAGACAACAAATTTCTGTGCAAGCCATCGATTTTTCGCGCTGTTTAAAACGCGTCTTCAGTGTGTACGTGTATGTGTGGTACGTGAGTGTGCGAGGACCTTTTGTAAATACACACACATACAAACATAATTATCAAACTCAGGCAAGCGGCTAACAAAGATCCTGGACGCAGAAGCGCGCCATTGAAAACTGCTGCTCAGCTGCCGTCGAAGCAGCTGCCAGGCTACAACTACAACAACAACAACAACGACAATAAAACAACAATAGCAGCAACAATGCCCATTCACCTGAATGTTTGAATGTGTGTGCGTGTATAACTGTATAGGTCTGTGTGTGTGAGTGATATTTGTGCATTAAATTTGCACATTTTCGCGAATCCCAAGATCGACCGTCCACAAAACAACGCAAATTGCCATCCAAATTTATTTTATTATTTTTCGCACACACACACACACGCGCGCCGTCGCTGCGAACGGGAGCATTAATAGAATTTTAACAGACGTCCAACTCCAACTCCAACTTCCCAAAACACAGCAAAGCGTGAGTGCGAGAGAGAGAGTGAGAGAGTTAGAGTGCAGGCAAATTATGCCTTGGGGGAGCCGCTGACATTTTCATCAGCAGGAACCAGCAGCAACAGCAACAACAACCACACAGCAACATCACTGCATACGACAACAACAGCAGCATTGACTGAGTATCAACGCCGACGTCGACGTCGCTGGCACAGTTTTTCCTGCTGCTCTCTGTGGGTGAGTAACAATTTTATTTTACAGTTGTAGTTGTAGTTGTAGCGGGTAGAAAGTTGTTATCGAATATGATGGGAGGCCAAAAGAGCGACAGGGATTGGGAACGGCATTGGCGACGGCGACTGCGACTGCGACTGCGACTGAGTTAGACAGTGGGTGGGCGTTCAGGCTTTGGGTGTCATTTTAGCTGTTTGCTCTTGCGGTTGGCTTCAGCTGGCGTCGCACAGGCGAGCGCTGTTAATGGCTTTCGTTTGGTTAGCGCCCAGGTTGAAAGGTCGAGTCCGCGTTTCCTGCATGCTGCTCACTGCCAACCGCTCGCTCCTTCCAGCTGCCACTTCATTTATGCAGCGTCAAAACTAATTTCGCGTGTGTGTGTGTGCGTGTCTGTTGCATGACTGGAGCGATAATCGATTTGCCAGCAAAAAGCAAACGTCAGCAAAATCAGGAAGAGTGCAATTTCAGTCAATCAATCAGTCAATCAGTCAATCTGTCAGTCAGTCAGTCGGTGAGCCAGTCAACTGCTCCGGTTATTAAACATACATATACATATTTTGCTTAACATATTCAGTGGCTAATGATTGGGCTAATGATGAGGAACGGATGCTCGAAGTGCTTTTAATTACGCATCCGCGACAACAACAACGACAACAATAGTGCACTGGTGGCGCCACCTGGCGCTGAATGGGGCAAGGGGAAGTGGTGTCAGCTAAAAGAGAGTTTGCATTTACTTCAGGAAAATACTAATTAAGCTTCATTAATCCGTTTGACGTTGGAATTAATAGAGAAAATTCGAAGTGGCGACGCAGTTTAGCGAGTGAATAAAATGAAAAGCCAAAGAAATGGAAGCTTAGAGAGCTGTATTGCTGGCAAATTAACAGTTCAACGAGAAATGTGAGCGGATGTTGCCACAAAGAAAATATATGAAATGATATACATATATAAAATAAAAATATTGGATTCCATAAGGAGGAAAGTTTTATGAACTAAAACCATTCCGATTAAACAGCTTATGAGTAATTTAAATCGCAATTATTTAGCTGCGTATATTTAAGTGTTTGCTAAGATTAATTAGCTCCTAAGCTCTATAGTTTAAGTGGGGATATACTTGGCCTGAAGCCTACACCAATAGGGATTTCTATCAATTATATTATAAATTTCATTTACAAGTTTAAATTCTATGATAACACAAGTCTGACACATTTCTATTTTCTCAATAATGAAATCTTATCAGAACGATCCGAGTTTTTGCCAGCCTTTTTAGTTATTTCTAATGTTTTTCTTTTTTTTTTTCTGGCTGCATTCTAATGTGTGTGGCCCGTTTGTCTTATCGACGCTGATAACGGGTCTTATAAATAGATATATGCATGAACGATTACCCATGATTGTTCTGTATAGCTAAATTATTTCTGTAGACTCGTTTTCCACTGACTGCACTCCTCGCCGGAGCAATTTGATTCTGATAAAAAAACACAGTCATTGGAACTTGTTTTTCGAGAGTTTGCGAATTTTTTAACAATTGACGTTTTGTCTGGCAGCCTCTGTCTCGCTCTCTCCCCCCTCGCTCCGTCTGTCTCTTTCATTTTTTGCTTTGATAGAGCTTGCTATCAAATAAAACGCATTAGCATAAAGCGTAAAACTTGTCAACTTTTTGTTTTGTTTATGCTGATATCTTCATATATACATAAATTAGCACTGGCTTGGATTCGTTTTTGGATTGCCAAAATTTCAAGGTCGCAGCCCGAAAGCCCGCTGAATCGAAGCAGATGCAGAGCAGACCCTGAGAACAACTGCAAAGAAGTTTCAGTGCTCGCTCACAGAGTGAAGCGGGCATATGAGCTTTGTGTGTCTATATCGATGTCGCATTGCGATGCTTGCCAGCCCTGAACGAGTTCCGTGCAGTCAGCTAAGCCCGAGCGCAGTGCTCTCACTTGTTTACACTCATTTAACATATTGTTTGGCTCAGCTTTTGTTGGGTCTCGTCTCAGCTTACGCTGCACAAAAGGATTTGTGGCATTGCATTTCAAGCTGCGTCTCCTGACAATGAACAGCCGAGGCTAAGGCAAAGGCAAAGGCAAACGCAAAGGCTCTCAGGCGAGACATCTGGGCGTCTGGCACGCCTCCGCTTTATCCCGCCCCCTCGAACAAGTTATCCAAGTGTGTGGCCTCTAAAAATGCTTTTCTATTTTCGCTTTGCCAAGAGACTGGTCAATGGTCAGCTGGTCAGTTGTAGACGTGGCCATTATATGGCTCCGCACTTGCTGCCACGCCCCCCTCGAACGCCTCTTGGCTTGAGTGTCATGTGGCGCATGCCGCTGTGGAGCCCCTCCAAGCGTGAAGTGGGCTTCCCATAGTCGCTGCTGGTTGTTGTTGTTGCTGTGATTATATAGTTAGTTATATGTGAGCTGACGATGGGTAAGTGCAGGCATCGTTATATATAAAGTATATGTCATAAAAGAGTTTTTATTTTTCTTGCCGCGCTTTAAAAGAAAAATGAAGCAAACCAAAGACTTTCTCTGCCATATGACAAACAATTTCGGCTCTAGACGTAATTGCCACAGCAATGAGCTGTTAATGAAATCAAATAGACAGTTAGACAGACAGTCGGACGGACAGACGGCCAGCTGGTTGGCTAGGCGAGTTAACACTAGTCATCGTCATTCCAATATGATCCGAACTGTGCCCCTTTCGGCCAGGCCAATGAACGATCCGCCCTCGGAGCAGCTTAAGAAAAATTCAAGCAACAGCACAGTTTTTTCTTCTTCTGTTTTATTATTTTCTCATTTTTTTTTTGCGGACTTCTTTTCATTGCTTTGCCTATTTTTGGTCTAAAAACAACAACAGCTAAATAAATAGCACACTGTGCTACAGGGTTGTGAGAACAAACCATTTAAACTCGAGACACAATTTTGGACTTTTGCTTTGAGAAAATCATTTGATGTTGTTTATTTTCATTTCATTTGTATGTGGCAAAAGCCAGTAAAACGAACAATGTATAGGCAATTTTTGATTATATATAGTACACCTTTTGATAACCAAAATTTAGCAACTGTTTATTGCAGCAGCTGTCGAAATTTTGAGTGAGACCTGAACGTAGTCTTACATACATATACAGATATTGTCCTACAGCACAAGCAAATTTACTTTGGAATCAGCTATAGATTTTATACAGTTATATGTATTCTTAATACCTTAAGTCATCAATGTTTAGATAGTAAATTCTTCAGTTTTAGTACGGAAAATCTATCATAGGATATATCCTAGTCGAGCACTCCCAACGCTTGCTTGCTCTAAATTTAATGCCAAGCTGTTCAAAAGGCAATCCGAGATGTATAGATTACGTAAACAGCAAATTAACTGATATACATAACTGATATGTGTGTAAGTAGATCAATTAACTCTTTGTTGAAAGGCTAACAGCTTGTATATGGATTTCCTTATCGCTAAATATGTCTACCAATTG